AAGGTTGTGAAAAATGAGCTGTGGGCTCAGGTTATTGGGAATAGCTCCTTCACTACCTCATTGGGAGTCCCAAACACTAGGCCAAAGTTAAGCTCCACAGAGGATCACAGCCCCTTTATGGCACTGCAGCTACCACAGAGCCCTGCCCAGTAACCATGAATCTAGCAGCCACAGTGAACCCCAGGGACCATCCCAACATTCCACCTGGAACCTAGCCAGCAACTGGCATTCTGGATTGGACAATTACGTGGTCAGCAGTGAGGGAAGATTTGGAAATTAAACATGCTTAGCTCCATTAATATCTAATGATCATTCTTAATTACATCCACCCTGTTGCTTTTATATCACTATCAAATACAAATATTGGGAAATATGTCAATCATAAATATATGACTTGACAAATTTTTAAGATTTTATACCCCTCTGCAGTTCCCAGCAGCCCTCTCAGTATACAGCAAATACTCCATATAACTTTTTAATCAATCCACACATTGGGAACCAGTAGTTAGCGTAATGGCTATGTCGCTGGACTCCCACATGGTTGACCGCGGTTTGCAACCTGGACCTGGTGGCTTAAAACTCACGCCGGGCGTGTGTGCATGCATGCCCAAGATCCTGAGAGGAGAATGGAGGAGAAGGGATTGCGACGTGACCATCCCCCCTGGGGGGTGATTTCTTGCTTTCTGTCTCTCTGTCTCTCTGTCTGTCTGACGAGCGCATGTGCCCTATAGCGAAAACCTCTCCCCAAAAAATATATATATATATCCACACATCAAGATCATAGGCAACTTCTGTTTTGATTCTTATTAACATATGTCACTTTCATTAGTTCCTAAACTTCATAGAATTAAACAAAACACAATAGGCATTTTTAAAAAATGTGCTAAAGGGCATGAGCAATCACTGGGTTGGGGAAGGGCAGAGAGAGAGAAAGTAAGAAAATATCCTCTAGGGAGGATAGCCATACTGCAATCCCTTCTCTATTTCTCCTCTCAGGATTTTGAGCATGCATGCACTTGCGCCTGGCATGTTTTTCAAGCTTCCGGGTCTGGGACACAAACTGTGTAGTTGGCTATGTGGGGTACAGCCATCTTAACCATCATAACACTGGCTGGTCCCACAATGTACACTTTGATGTCTGCCCTTGTTCGGGGCTGTGAACCTTCCCTCCTTAGTTGAGCCTCCCTTTCTTGTTGCTAGTTTTCACTGCCACCACATGGTGACAAAGTTGCTGCAGCAGCATCAGCTTTGCATCCTCTCAGATATATGTACTGCACGCAAGAGTTTCTTTCCTTGTAGCAGGAAATAGTGTCTTTCCTAGTAGCTCCCTCAATTCCCTAGAGACTCTCTGATTGGATTGATATAGGTCACATGTCCACCTCTGAACCAGTGACTATTGCCAGAGAATATAATGTTCTGATTAGCCGCATCTTGGCTCCTTGTTGGACTCTGGATTCAGGGTGGGTGTTGGGTGGGGGGAAGAGGACCAGTGATGCCTTACTTAGCCCATAGGAACTAAGAGTAGGGGAGAGGTTGCTACTAGGGTGAAAATTGAGCTCTTTCTAGAAAGTGTGCAAATGTTCTTGGAACACCTATCTCAAATTCTAAAATGTTCCATGCATACAGCAGGGAAGAATGTGGCAAATACATTATGTACAGATTTTTATTTTAAATATAATCATTGACATCATAACAAAGGAATGATGGAAAGGAATATAAAAGAAATATATAAGAATATTTAAGAATATTAAAATAGGTCAACTCTAAATGTGCCATCCCAAGGCACAAATCTGAAGGGCATATGAGGGGGGAAATGAGAATGAGTTTATTTTCAGTGCAAAAAATAAATATGAAAACCATGCATAGTTTTTTTAATGATAAGACTTTTCATGAACGTTTTAAAAAAGCCCCTTATACATTCATTAACTTACCTTATTCTACCCCCCTCATGTGTCTTTTAACACAAAGAGGATTCATTAAGGAAAAATACTAGGAAGGCTAGGTAGGCTATCCTCCTTTTTACCCAAATTCACAGTGTTGAAAATAATTTGCTTTAACTGAGATCATTTTCAGTGCCAGGCCTCAATCTAGCTCTCTCTATATTACTAATTTTAGTCTTTACAATAATTCTGCAAAGTCATTTTAATACTCATATTTTACAGATAAGGAAACAGGCTAAATGAGGTTATAGAACTTTGAGCAAAGGGCGAAGGGATCCAAAAGAAGAATGTAAGGTTGCAGATATTGAATAAATTGAAAGGTAGACTGCTTGGGCCTTTTCAAAGATGCCCCACCTAGGTTTTCCCAAAGAATCTTTTCCTCTTCATGTGACTGGACTAGTGAGGAGTGGGCACTTCTTAGAAGCATTCTGATGCCATCTTCTGGTAAGGCTTAGGGCTTGGGAACTGAAAGACCCAAGAAATGAGCACCTAAGAAACAGCTCACAGTCCACCCTCTTTGTGTCTCCAATTATTTTTGTGAATCAAACTTTCCTTTCTGGTTTTGCATTTGGCACTGGTTGACTTCCTGGAAACCTCACTCAAAAGATTTCAGGTTTGAAGTGATAATATTAGTATTAAGTGATAATATTTATCTGCAACTGGAGTCCATTTTCTGTTACAGAAATGGGGAGCAGGTAAGTTGATGCTTTCCTCCATGGGTGAGTCATCGAGAAG